GTCGTGATGGCTGCATGTGCCACCAAGAGAATACATCCCATTCTCGCATTGGACATTACTTTATTGGACAGTACCTTCGAACGGTGCTAACGCAAACATCTTTGTGCACGTAGCTCTGTCCTGGATTCTTTCTGTAAGATAAATTCACACATCTGCTTTTTGGTGACAGGATAAACCAAAAGAAAAGAAACGAGATAAATTCACAGAGTAGAATTACTGGGTCAAAGAGTATGAGACTAGAATTGAAGCTCCTTATTTCCTAACCGGTTATCTCTCCATTGGAGCCTGTGTTTTTGTGTGTGAATAATAACCCCAACTCGATGTTTGGGGGAAAAGTGTTTTCAGATCTGTGTTTTCTTCCTGATAGAGTCATTGAGTGATGGAGCCGGAAAGGACCTGAGATATCATCTCGCCTGGCTGCCTGACTGAGGCCCGCAGAGGGAGAGTGTAGTAAATTCTGTGTAAATAGGAAGCAGGCTGCTGAGCAGTTGTTTGGTGCAGCTCTCAGCTTAACACTCGGCACAGGAAAAACTTACTCGAGAACATTGTCCATCACCTGTCAATCAACGACACTTATTGTCAGAACACTCTTCACAGCATTGGTTCCAATCCCAGAAAAACCAGACTCTGTGCTTCCCAATTATCACAGGCACCAGCCCAGGAGAGGTGAGAAGAGGAGGAAAAACACTGTGTTCTTTTAGAAGTGGCTCCTTCTGCGTTTGTTTGGCACCAAGAAAAAGCCATAGAGATCTGGGTGCGCCTCGTGTTGGTCCCTTTTCCTTTCTCCCATTCCCCTGCAAAGTGACAGGCAAGCTCTCATCTTTCTCCCTGAAAAGCCTCATATTTTCCCGATCAAACCTTGTCCCACAGGTCTGACAATGGGACAAAATACTTGAAATGAGACTGGAATGAGAGCCTACTTGGGCTGTCGTGAAAGGGGAGACTTCTAGAGTGAAATTGATCTGCACTCCAATCCCAGCTCTGCCACTTAGCAGCAGTGCGATGTGGGGCAAGAGACTTCATTCATCTCACTAAGCCTCAGTTTCCACATCTATAAAACGAGGACATCATGCCAGGCTTGTAGGGTCACTGTGAGAATTACTCAGCGGTCAGTGCTGTGACTTGTGAGTGACCAGGCGAGACCCTGCAGGACTGATGAGCCTGCTGCCAGCTGGTCATTATATGGATTCACTTAGCAATTGTTGCCATTGGTATTTTTTGTTACTGTTTTGATACTAGTTTTTATCAGCTTTGACACTATTGTATAGTGTCCGTTGTTACGAGTTTGGGGCAATACTTGGGTTGTTTCCTGCTGTGCAGGGTGCGTAGTTCACCGCAAAAGGCGGCCCCCAACGTAAGAGTCTCTCTGTAGAGAGGAGATGCCCTTTCACATCTCTTCTGTCCTTCCTGCTGAGACCATCAATCACAGTTTCATGTGCCCAGACATTCCAGACAATGGCGGCCCCCATGGTGTTGGGAAGGATGCACGCACCCCAGGTAACCCAGGTCCTTTCATCACCCTGACACGTGCAGCAAGCCCGCTTTGATTCCCAGGAGGGGCTGTTTGCAGAGCCTTAGTGCAGCTTGGCCTGGCTCTGTGCTGGGAGAATTCTCTGGGAATTCTGCCCAAGAGCAGATGGATTACTGTGGGCCGTCTGTCTGTCTGTCTTTGTTTCCCAGTGAGCTGTGATTCTGAACTACCTATTTGGGGTTTTAGAACCAAGCGTTTAAGGAAGTAGAGCACTGCATTGGCAGCCAGGAGAACTGGAGTCGTTCCTAGCTAGGCCAGGTTTTCGCTGCATGACCTTGGGCAGGTCAAGCCTCCTCTTTGGTTCTCAATTTCCTTATCTGCAAAATGGGGCCAGAGGGGAGAACTAGACAGCTTAGATACCCTAAGATTCTGTTTTTCACAACCTTGTTATTTGTAAGGTGCCCTGACATAAGTCTCTCGCATTAACTTAATGTAGACATATAAAATAAGAACTAATCATTATCCTCAAGATCTCTTAAATCTAGTTACAGAGGTAGACTGACAACATGAAATAGTGAATGCCAGACATCACATGATTAAATGCCAGCTGTCTGGTACTTACTGTTGATGCATTGGGGGCTCAGGAAAAAGAGAATGGTGTGGGTATTTCGGGGCGGGTCCTGGAGGATGGGTGAGATGGGTTAGTGGAGATGGGGGAGAGCGTGCCAGGTGGGAACTCAGGGGCTAGGGTGCCAGGAGGGGGCACCCTTTTCAACTTTGTACAAAAGCACTCTACACACTAGCAACACCCCTGGTTTATTTGTCCTGGAATCCCCAGGAGACCATTTTTCTATCCCTTCCTCATTCAGGGTTTGCTACGGGGCCCAGTCTTGGGTCCCCACCACTGCCCAGAGAGAAGCTTTTCAGGGCAGGGGTGAGGGAGAGTGGCATCGTTCACTGTCGGAAGCATTTCAGGCAGGAAATGAAGAATTTTGTAATGCAGTGGAAGCTGATTTATGTTTGAATTTTGTTCCAGGACAGCAGATTATAGCCCAAGTTCTGAGGCAAAGGCAGCAGTGTCTTTATGGCCTGCTTGGATCCGTTTTATGTCTTAGTGAGCTTTATATGTTTCAGCTAAGCCAAGATGCTCGAACTTTTTTGTCCATATACTTCACCGAGGAAAACTCGTGTACCACTCCTTGCGCCCAAGTTCATTTTACCACGTAGAGAAAAGAAAGCAAAATAGATGAAAAGCATGTTTTGGCTTGCTATTTAGTTGGTATCCAGTTTTTACTTCCATTAAATCAAATCAAATCGTAAATAGACAATGAATCCACATAAGATTCAGGTAGATGTCAGGTGACATCACGAAAACCACAGGACAGGGTTCTAAATATTATTGAATAAGCAGACCGCTGCATCCTGCAGTATCCTTTTGATGAGAAGAAATTTCTCTCAAATATTAGTGTCCAGATAAGCCCTGTGGCCTTTTCTGGCACGCTGCTTTGCTTTCATCCTATGGCTACTGTACCTTTTGTAACTGAGCGTGTTTCCCGCTTCCCTTTGTTCACGGGAAAGCTAAGAGCTGAACTTGTTCAGGGATTTTGAGCATACATTTCCATGTACTAGCATTTTCCTTGGCTTTATTTTACTTTTCTACCCTTCTTTTCCAGCTGCTCTATCACTTTATCTATTTTTATCCCATTGTATTGTGTGCATTTGGGTAAGCTACCTCAAATCCTTTTTTGGAACACAAAGGAACATAAATAAATCAATAAATACATCCCGTGTTTGTAAATACGGCACTTTGTTCTTTCTAAGGCGATCTTTGTATCCATCGGCTCTGTGGGTCCTCACGTACGTCTGTGAGGAAGGCAGGGCAGGCTCTATTGCCCCCATTCTGCAGACGAGGAAGGTGAGGTACATCTGTGAATGAAGTCGTTTACAGAAGAGGATAGACTTTTTTTTTTTATTTCAAAATATTTAGGGGGTACAAATGTTTTTGGTTATACAGATTGCTTTTTAATGCTTGAGTCATGGCTATAGGTGTGCCCATCACCCAAATAGTGTTCACTGTACCCATTAGGTAGGATTTTGCCCTTCCCCCTCCCCACTGCTTGATGTCCACTGAGTTCTACTTCCCTCTGTGCACGTGTGCTCGTCGGTTAGTTCCAATTGAATAATGAGTGCGCCGGGTGTTTGTTTTTCCAATCTTGAGATATTTCATAGACTTATTAGTAGATACAAGAGGAAACCAAGGTTGGTGTTGCCAGTTGGAGAGGATACAACTGGGGTGACCCGAGCTCCGAAGAGTCCCCCAGAGTCCACATCCGTGTTGCCGTACTCCACCCCTTTTCTGGTAACAGATCCATTCCCACTTGTCACATGGGTGGCACAGGATCCAAACTGGGCAGCCAGTGATAGAACCACATACTCCTGGCCACAGCGATTGGTTCAAAGGGGAGGACACATGACCTGAGCTGAGCCAATAAGAGTCCTTTCCTGAGATTTTTCCATCTGTAGCTCGGAAATAAAATCTCATCTCACTTTTGGCTACAGAGCTGCTGACGTGTGATCCCAGAACTGCTGGCCACTGTGCTCCCTTTCTGACAGGGAGCTCATGGAGTATGAGAGAAGGCAGGCAGCATGCACAGGCCAGCGGGTATGAGAGACGATGAGAGAGAGTGCCCTGGGGATGTCTGAAACTCAGGTTCCAGGTGCTGAGCCTCACTTTTGTTCCTTCCAGAATAGGGGCCAATAAATTCCCTTTAATTTTTTTTTAATTATTATGGGTACATAATAGTTGAATATATTTATAGGGTACATGTGATGTTTTGATACAGGCATAAAATGTGTAATATTAATAATAAAATCAGGATAATTGGGGTATCCATCACCTCAAGCATTCCCTTTTTTGAGGAACCTAATTTGAGCTGGGTTACTTTCACTTACAGCCACAGATTTCTTGATTCGTGTAGTTTTTATAATGAGTCTTTTTTTTTTTTTTCATTTTTCAGTGGAAATAAACCCAGAAGCTATGCTGCTTTGGAGTCCGGATTTTGGTCTCCCAGCTCCATGGGTCTGGAACCTCAATGTTCAGCTTATCCAAGGGGGCTTAGGCTCTGGAAATTAATAATAACAATGTGTCTGCTTAGAGCTGGACCACAAACAAAGACTGTAGATCTTAGTGGTTCATAGTGTGGCATCTGACTCTGTTGCTCTTCAACTGTGTGACCGTGAGCAAGTTATTTAACCTCTGAGGCTCAGTTTCCTCACCTGCAAAATGAGGATAATAATAGTAGCTACCTCATAAGGTTCTTGTGAGGATTATAAGGAATAATCCATTTCAGCACGTAATTTTGTGCCTGGCACCTACTAAGCACACCACAAATATGGTTCAATTATTTCACACAATTTTACACATACTATCCCTCCAACAGTCCTATGAATGAGGCAGAACAAATATTCTCGTATCTGTTTGGCCAATGAAGACTGTGATGTTCAGAGGGGCTAAGCGACCCACCTAGGTCACATAATAAGTGGAAGAGGCTGGATTCTGAACATTACACTCACATCCAGAGTCCTCTCCTTTGGACTGCACTGCCCAAATGACACTGTGCTGGCTATTGTCAGGAAGCCAATTTAATAGCTTATAAAGGGCACTATCCCTCCAGGGACAGTGTTTATTAGAAAAGCCAAATGTTGGCCGGAAGGCTGCTTGGCAAGCACAGAGGATTGGCACTGGAAAGATGCCCAGAGAAAGATTGCTTAAGCTGACGCTCCTGCGTACCCCTAACCAGTGTCTGTCCACTCTCCTTCCTCACTGCCAGCTTCCAGCACCCACACATCTCACCCGTAAGGATTCGAAAAGACAAGACTGTCACAACCAGAAGCTAATACAGAGCTCGCTCTAGTTCACTCATCCATTCAACAAATATTTATTAAACATCTACTTCGTGCCAGGGAGAGTAGATGTAATGGTGAACTAGACACAGATCAAATCTCTCATTTACAGATGAAAACAGCAAGACCCAGGAAGGAAGATGGCTTCCCTAAGGTCTACAGTGAATTAGTAACTTTATTAGACACTTTGTAAAGAATATCTGCCTAGCTCACAGTGACACACCACCCCCCACCCCCTGCCTTTCCTGAGGTTTATGTGATACCGTCTTCCTGGTCACAGCTGATTGGACCAGAAGAAAACATCTGACTGAAGCTAGGCCAATCAGATTTCATTTCCTAGGAATTCGACTCCGGAATAAGATGCTGGTTTTAGCCCAGAAAGGAAGGGAACAGAATGACAGCATGGTTCTATCAATGGGCCCATTCTTGGTTCCAATCTTTGGGTATCACACCACACCACCCATTCCTTATAGTACATCTCTCTTCTTCATTTTGGGGGTTTTGAAGTTATTATAGCTATTAATTTTTTGGGGCAACAAAAATAATGTAAATTAAGATTGTGGCCAAGCTTGGATTAAATCCCAAGTCTCTGGCTCCAAGACCCATGTTTTCCCTTCGGCAACAAAGGTGTTCTACCCAAGGATCTCTCAGAACTCTGCCCTTTGGATGTGACCTTGGATATATCAAACAAACTCAAGCCATCCAAAGCGGGAATAGGGAGTCTCCAGGAGGTGCTAAGTTACTTGATCGCTAAAGCAGTTGTCTCGGGGTAGGGGCAGGGTTGTGTGAGATTTCAGAAAAGCAGCAGAGGATGGTGGCTACAGAGCAGGCCCTGAAGCCAGATGCCTGACTTCAAATTAATCCAGATCCTTCACTCACCAACTGTGACCCTGGGAAAGTCACTTTTCTCAGTTTCCTCCTCCAATATTTACCCCATAGGGTGGTTGTAAGTCTTCATGTATGTATGAAGTATATGCTAGCTATTTACTATGTGAGTAACCTACTTTTTAAAAGATGGTATTTGCCCACAAAACCTCCCCAGACCCTTAGGGTTTAGCTTTCACTCACATCTCTCTAGCAATTCCCCTGAGATCCACCTTGGACTGATGACATTTTTTAGCAT